ATATATATATGTATAGTAATGTTGTATCTGTATACGATATATATACTTATATATATATATATATATATTATATATATATATATATGTATATATGTATATATCAATATATATATATATATATATATATATATATAATATATATATATAATAGATATATATATAAACTTGAACATTCACGTAAAACAAACATATACCTGTCGTTCACTTACTTGCATACAAGTCCCACAATGCTCTGCACACTCGCATGTGTGCTGAGGAACAAAAGGGCTCGCATCATATCGGCTGCGTGTAGACCCACTATACTACGCCCGTTCATCTGTGCAAGTAACTGTGGTTTGCCTGAGCGAAATTCGGCATAGTGTATGTCCCCCATGAACGAATAGCCTGCCTGTACATGAATATGTATAGGTATATGTACGGGAATAAATACGTGAATGTGTGTACATGCGTGTATAGAAGTATATGGGTGAGAATAAGCAGGTGACCCTAGGAACGATGTCCTCGATCCGTAACATATTCCAGCACAATGCCAGGTAAGTATATAGTTTTATGTCATTAAATTTGCAAAGTATTGATATTCAGATATCCTGCCATAAGTATATGTCTTCATCCCAAATACATCCCACAAACTCTATATACCCTACTTACTCTGTCCATACACACATACATACATACAACATACATACATATATACATATACATACATAACATACATACATACATATATACATACATACATACATGAATACATACATGCAAGCATAATCACATACATGCATACGTACGTACATACATACATACATACATATATACATACATACATACATACATACATCCATACATCCATCCATACATACATACATACATACATACATACATACATACATACATCCATACATCTATACATACATTCATATATATACATATATATATATATATATATATACCTTTCCAAACCCACAGACTGACACCACAGCCACAGCCTGGCCGCGTGCAATAGCCTCCACCAGCAACGCGTTCTCGAGCACATCCTCTTCCTCATCGTTGCCGTTATGTATGATACTGCTAGTGTATACAACCGTAGGAAACACTTTGGTGGGGCCGTTGGGTTTGGGGTTGTCCTGGGTGTCTGTGTGTTGGAATACTGAGACCGTCTCGGGGGTAGCGGGTGTGTACAGCTCCACAGTACACACACACGGACTTTCGGACTCAATTACGAATTGTTCGTACCTGTTGGTAGAGCGGGGCAATGACAGCGGTGTATAAGTATGCACACATATGTGCCGGTGTATGGGTGTGTACAGGGATAGGCGTTGAACGGTGTTACGCATGAACGTGTACGTACATTGGATTTGATTACGAATAGCCCGTTATCTGTGTGCAGAATGAGACGTTGGTCTTATGCATTACACACGTACACTTTGCAGAAATTAGGGAAGAACAATTTAACGGATCAGTGATAAACGTACTAATGGTGTGCACCCCCCCCCCCGTCTCCCCCAACAATATCCGATGTAGGTACAAACATACAATATGAACACAGTAGAAACGGTATTGGACGGAAGTACAAGCATACTATATGCACACTGTCACACTCCAGTCAACTTACAGAATAGAATTTTCGACTCGCCTGCCCCTCTCAACGCGTTCTTGCATATACTCATCGAATTTGTTGGCACACACACCGATATCCGAAGAAACTACAAACATAATATATACACAGAACAAAGGATATCACATGGAAGCACAGCCATAGAATAGGTACACAGAGAAAACAATATCCGACACAAGAACAAACATAAACACATGAACATTGTTCCACTTCACCCCACTTACAGTACGGTGTTGTCGGCTCGCTTGCCCTTCATGCCAGTGTACTTGCCCATACTCAACGCGTGTCTTGGGTGGAACTGTGGCCGTTGGTAGCCTGAGAGCTTCGTCGCCGCTGCAGTCACACGCTCGAAGTGTTCCTATACGCACACATACATATATAGTCCAATGAACTGGGTTAGGAGAGGAATGAAATGGTGGAAGTGACTCTACACCCACTCATATATGTATAGTGCTCCAAATGTCAGGAGAGGATTGACATGATGAAAGTGTTCTTATACCCACACATATGTACATAGCACTTTGCATGTCATGATACGAATGAATTAAGCAAGTGTTGTCAGTATATGTCCCTGCGGACATTCGCTAGGCCCGGCGCACTCGTTCCTAAGTTGACGTATACAACCCTCCTGCTATGATACAGAGCGACCCCATCTCAAGGAAAGCTACGGATAGTCAGTCATACACCCTATGAGCTTGTGCTGTGGTGGTCTATATACTGACATGTACTACGCTTTAATGCAGATAAACGCAAACGTCACCCACTCCTTCATCATCCATACCTCTCGAGAAGCCCTGCGGCGTTTGATGAGGCGCATGTTCCGTGAGGTGTACTCCGTTATGTAGTCAAATAGGTGCTTAGCATCAGTGTACTCGAGCGCCACTTGCCCGTTGTTGGTGGTGGTCAGATCACCGGCCGATATAGGAGCGATGTTATCGTTAGTATCGTCGATGCTCTGCGGATGAAATAAGTGACTAATTGTCTGAGTAATGTGCATTGGAGACAGTGGAGATGCACCCTTTGCATACATTGTGTGTGTGTTAGATTGAGTCGAACGTCTTATAAGGGGATAGATAGTTGTACGTACCGATATTTTTCGCGTGAGATATTTGTATATGCAATGTCAATAGAGTGGCTACTTTTGTGCTCATGTATGCGTATGTTCAAAACGCATCGCTCGCACTTTTAACTCTTTTGAATCCCACATATAATCGACACAGTACGATGCTCCTCTCATCAAGGTATACTTAGATCACTGCAGAAAAACTGCATAGAGTACAAACTGCAACGAATTCTCATCAACAGGCCAGAAATGCACACACTCCC